AGATCTAATTTTAGTAAGCTACAGTTACGTACTCCCACTCCTGAAATCACAAAACTTAGTGAGAAATAGCCAATCACGTGCTCTGAATTCATTTACAACAGCCAATCACATTGAAATGTGAGTTTAATAACCAATCACATTGCTCATAGTCACATATGTCCAGAAATTCTCATAACGCACTGCCTGCCGTAGTGGATCTCGTTGTGTAACATACTCTATATTGAATTCAGCATATCTCATGTGTTCTTCAGCATAAAGCATGTGCGATTCAGCAATTTTTATGTGGCTCTCAGCAATTCCTGTGTGGTCCTCAGCAATCCTTATGTGGCAATATTTTATCCTCCCGCTACAGGTGTTCGAACACGTCTGTGATCTCGTCGTCATTGCTGGCACACACTAGCACGTCGTCCACGTAGATTGTACGATCTGGAGGCGGCCATCCGCTCGCCGCGTGAACACACAGCTGTCGCTCAATGTCGCGGCAAAGTCGAGGGCTTCCAAGATGGCCTTGAAGTGCTGGCACCAGAGCAGTGCGCTCTATTTCAGGCCTTAGAGGGCGCCGAGAATGCGCCAGGCCATGCCTCTCGCTTCGAACCCATCTGGCGGTGCCATGTACAATTCGCGGTCGCTCTTGGCGTGGATGTAGGCGTTCGTGGCATCGCCCTGGCGGCACTTCATGCCGGAGGCAGTGAGGATAGCTAGGACGAGTAGAGAGTCGCCCCAGATGACGGGCGCATAAGTTTCATCATAATCGATGCCTTGGCTTTGCGCGAAGCCCTTGATTACCACGCGCGCCTTGAAGATCTGAGTGACATCTGGCATATCCTTTCTCTTGAACACCCATTTCGACTTCAATGTACGCGTGCCATCTGGCACCTGGGAGAGTTCATAGCATTCCATGGCTTCAAGGTTGCCTATCTCCTTTTTTGCACGCTTCAAGCCAGCCGGTGGCGTCAACTGACTGCATACCTTCGTGGAACGTCGCGGGCACGTCCTCGTCGACGTCGTCTGTACCATTGAAGCACACATCGTAAGCTGCGTTAGCTGCGTCGGGTGGGTCATTCCGGTCGATGGGGTGTTGCCACGGCAATTTTGTTTCGACGCCGCGCGTGTCCTCCGTCCGCATGGTCTTGTGCGGCGATTGTCCACGGTCGCCCGCCTTCCGCGTTGGTTGCGCGGTTGTGGCGTTTGCACGGACCTTGGCATTGCGCGACGTAGAGCGCTTGGAGTCGACGGTGGTGGTTCGTGCTTGGTGCCTAGCAGCATCCATGCCTTCTACCGCCGCTTGCTTCGTGCGGCCTGGTGACGTCGACTTCTTCTTGTTCGAGGGTCGATGCGATCTATCCCAGCGCGATTCCCGTGGTCCTTCTTCGTGTGTTGGCGCGGTCGCCGCAGCAGCTTCCGTGGCCGCTTCGGCGGCTCTGCGGCTGTTTCTCGTGTCGTGTCTCGTGACTTGTGGCGGGTAGTGGGCGAAGGGTTGCGCCATCAGGCGCGCCGGGCTAGACTTGAGGCTTGAAGGGCTCTTGCTGCGCTCCGAAATCATGCTGCTGACCGAGCGCTGTGGTGGTGGTTGCGTGTTGGCCAGGTCCATGTCAACGTCTTCCTTCGTGACTTGCGCCATGGTGCCGCGTTTGCCATCGCGCTGGTCGTCGCTATCCTCGACGAACACGGTGCGTGGACGATGGAATTTCCGTTTTCTTGAAGGTGCAGTCCACCGTGAACACCGTCTTCTTGTCTTCTAAGTCGTACACCTTGTAGGCTTTCTTGACTTCGCTGTATCCGAGGAACATGCACAGGTTGGCTCGCGACGCGGTGTTGTCCTGTGTCTCGTTGCGGCGCCAGGCCACGCAACCGAAGGCCTTGAGAGACGTGATCTTGGGCTTGGTTCCGCGGATCAGCTCGTGTGGCGTCACACCGGCCGTCTTGTTGCTCGGCGTCCGGTTTCTCAGGAAGGCTGCCGTATTTACGGCTTCGGCCGACCAGTTTTTGGCCGCGTTGGCGTGGAGCAGCTTTGTGCGCCCCTTCTCCACCAGCGTGCAGTTCATCCGTTCCGCCGTTCCGCCGTTCCGATTTGCCATTGGCGCCTTGGGGTGCTGACTTCGTGATGGATGCCGCGTTGCTTGAGGTAGGCTTCCATCTTGTCGCTGACGTACTCACCGCCGCCATCTGTGCGTAGCGTCTTCAGTTGTACGCCAGTCTGGCGCTCGAGTCAAGGTACGTATTCCATGACTGCCTCGTAAGCATCGCTCTTCTGGGATAGGAACTTGACCCACACGTAGTTGGTGGCGTCTTCCGTGAAGGCGATGAAGTACTTGGCGCCGTTGGGCGAGGGCGGTCTTGGCTGGGCCCCATAGGTCGGTGTGGACGCAGGTGCCAAGCGAGTGTTGTGGGCGGTCACCCATCTTGGGCACGGAGGTATGCTGTATCTTGCCTCTGATACAGTCTTCGCATGTGATTGCCTTGGGCAGGTCCGTCGGGCCGCCTATGGATGCCTTGCTTGCTGCCTCCATCGAGCCAGCTGGGATGTGTCCCATACGAGCGTGCCAGAGCATGGCGTCGGCTGCCTCTGTTGTGTTGGCCTCGTCATCCATACCGGGGAGGATGAACTTGCCTTGGATGGCATACAGGTACGAGTCATTCCATCGAGCTGTGATGGACAACTTGTTCTTGTTCCGTAGCTGGCAATGGTCTTTCTCAAAGACCAGCGAGGCGTCGCCTGATTGGCGGTTGATGCGGCTGATGGACACGAGTGTCTTCTTGAGGGTCGGTACGTAAAGGATGTTCTTGAAGGTGGCCGTACGTCCTGTTTCTTCTGACTTGATCTTCAGGTCGCCCATGGCGGTCATGGGGATGGGGTGGCCATCGGCTAGGCGGACGCCGCGGGTGCAGGCCACAACGGTCGATATCGCCAGTCATGTGCGCAGTGGCGCCGCTGTCAATGATGGCTTCGCGCTTGTACGTCGACATTGCAGCATTGCATTCGTCGGTTTCGTCTGTCGCATATTGACTCAGCTCCATGGAGACAGTGTCAGCTTCGAAGTCGACAGCCGGGTCTTTGTCTGTCAGCTACCATGTGTCTTCGTCATCCGGACGACTGGACATAGGTATGTCTTCTTCCATCATGAAGAGGTCTTCTATTTCATCTTCGGCGACGTTGCGCCGCTGAACGCATTTGGCTTCATCGCTTTGTCGGCGGCGGCACTCGCTGCGTAAGTGGCCGGGCTTGTGGCAGTAGTGGTATTCGCCGTTGACCGTCGCATTGAGCGCGTCGTGCTATCTGTCGGCGTTTTTGCGTAGACTTGGGTTGCTTCGTTAAAAAAGAGTTCTACATACACTTGATAACTTACTCGTTCTTGATCAATGGTTTGGTTTTGAGCAACACCCCAGTCAATTAGGAAATATTTCGATCTATGTTGGCAACCTTGTTTTTTGTCAAAAAGTGATCTGTTGACGAAACGACTCAATCTCTCGTCAGTACAGCTCAAACATAACAAGGAGTCGACTCCTTTGCAAAGAAGCTTGTCCATACCGAAATCTATTCGTTTTTGACTTGGTGACCTACTGTATAACGTAGAGTTCCAATTAAGACATGGGACAATTTAAGGGACATCGGATTCAGCCAATCACCCACCTTGAAATTTATATTGAAATACTTCTGTAAATACGTTCTTCTTGATCCCATGTGTTTTATATAAATCAATTAACCAATTGGCTCTATAAATACATAACCTGTTGAGGTTGCATATGTACCTGACAGAATATTATACCTTACCACAAAAATATATGCAAGGATAAGTACCACGATCAAGCTTAAAATATGTCCCTTAAATTGTCCCCTATTTTTGAATATTTCTGCTTAGAAATGGGACATTAGGACATGATAAATACTGTGAACATACATGTTTCAGCGCTTGTTGGACAGATCTGTGTTTCCTGTTGAATTATCAGTTTTCAGAAGTCGAAACCCATTCCTCAGTGCCGAGCTGCTTCGATTTCCCGCCAGCGATTCGAAAATATGTCTCTTAAATTGGAACTCTACGTTACTAAAGTAGAAAAAGCGGCCCTTGAGGTCTTTTTCTAAATCGTTAAAAAAAAGAGGTTAGGGCCACTCTGGATGCCACAAAAATTGTCTGTAAATACCTCTTTTTGCAACATTTTCCGAAAAATTATGACAATTTTTCAAACGACATCATTTGTGTGTTTTGCTGCCAAATCTGACATAAATAGTGACATAATACGTCGAAGTTTTACTGTTTTCTGGCAGCAACAGTCCATTTTTTTACCAACATGATATTCTATCGATAGTTCTCATTCATTTTGAAAGTATTTTCTCAACTCCCATTTGAAAAGGGAATTTTCTGTCAGAATTTGATTTGACATAAAGTTCTTTGTGGTATTCACTGTCAGAGTGGCCTAAATCAATTTTGATCGGCTCGTGCTATTTTTGAAAACTACTTGGAACTGCCCCTTACGGTTTGAGCATATTTGGACCGAATTCACAATACAGTACCTTCCTCGCCAAACAAATGCCTTCTTGAAGGCACTTCAAATTTGTACGTGATGAACGTCACGGTCAAGACCCTTTCGTGTGTTTGAGTAAACTCCACCCGGCTAAGTCGGCTGAACCTTAGCACAGAGCCTACATACATCCCAGTAGTGCACTGTATTTCAATAATTGTCTCGTACAGTACTGTACTTACTATATGTATCATATTAGCGCCCTTTCGACACCATCACCTTTATACTCGAGTTCGTAATGGCAAGTAGTGCAGTCTTCCTTTGGATACTCAAGGCGATAGGTGTCGATCTCAAACCCTTGCTGTTTCAATAACCTTGCATATTGGATTCTTACGAATTGCGATCTACCGTGTATTATTATCTACAATCCAACCTTCAAACCGCATACCTCGTTGACGAAACGTGTTGATTGGGCTATCAGTATTAATTGCTACAGGTAGTACCTAATTGTGTCATGAATGGTGTTGTCACTTTTTGAATTGCCATGTCGTGGAAAATGCTACGCATGGCGGCGGTGTTGGCGGCGGCGCTGCATGCCATATCCGCGCTGGACCGTCCACTGTACGGCATAGACTACGACACCCGACGCACCGAGTGGGGTGGATGCAAGAGCGAAGAGAACATCCGAAAGGACTTCCGCGTGCTCAAGGCAATCACGTCGAGCGTGCGCATTTACACAGTCACGGATGGATGCGCCGACCGGTTGTTGAACGTCGCATCCGAATTAAACATTCGCCTATGGTTGGGCATCTGGGGGAACGTGAATGCGACCCTAGATGAGTTTGAGCCCGAGTTCAAGACGTTGCAGCGCCTCGTGCTCGAACGCCGCGTGCGCAACGACAACGTCGTGGGCATCCACGTCGCGAGCGAGGCTTTGTTCCGGTACTACTCGCAGGAAAAGCACGACTGGGCCGCCGAGTACAGCGGCGTCCAAAAGCTGTTTGGGTACGTCAAACGAGTCCGCGACTTTCTTCGCGCCCAAGACTTGGCCTTTCCCGTGACCATCGCCGACGTGATGGACTCGTACAAGTCGGTACCCGAGATCTACGACATCGTGGACGTGGTGTCTGTGAATCAGTTCTCCCAGTGGGAAGGCGTGGCGGCGGCCGATGGTGTCAACGTCCTCTTCGACCGCATGGCGGCGATTCAGCACGCGGCACGTAAGGCGGGCAAGGTGGTGGTCATCTCTGAAACTGGATGGAGTTCCAACGGCACGGTCGCGGCGATCAAGGAAGCGAGTCCCGCGTCGTCGGCGGTAACGACCCCTCTTTCGTGGAAGGCTACGAGTCGTATACTCACGTTATCCTTATTGGTCTTGGTAGAGATTTCTGCACGACTTTATGCGGTACACGGAGCAACAAAACATTGCGTACTACTACTTTACGTCGTTCAATTTGGCGTGGGACGGCGCGTCTGATTTTGGCGAGATCGAGCAGAACTTTGGCCTGTTTGACGAACATCGCAACCTGTTGCCACATGTGAAATCTGTGACACTGGGAGCATACCACAAGCCCGTGCGCATTTGGCATCAGGGTCAAGTGGTCAAGGCGGATGGCCCCTACACGCACTCGTTTGGCCGCGTGTACTTGGACGCCCCCGCCCACGGTCTGAGTGATTCCCTCGATCGAGAGATCTGGTTCTACGACCAACAAGTCGGATCGTTTCGAAGCCGCAGCACCAACCAATGCTTGGCCGCTAACGAGACCACGCTGCATGTGACGTGGTGCCAGCCCAAGGTTGACGCTAACCAACGCTGGATGTTCAAATCCAATGCCCCTACATTTCCCCCTACCACGACCACCACCACGACCACCACTACGACTGTAGCCCCGACGACGAACCCCCCGACGTACGCTCCCGCGACCACGCAACACCCCGACTGCGGCGACTGCGACAACTGCCAGTACTCGACGTCGTTTTACGCGCTATGTTATGCCAACTGGAGCCCCGTCGACTGCGCTCGGATGGGTGCCACGCATCACTGGTGCGGCTCCAATGGCGATGATGACGATCTGTTTGGCCGCCGCCGTCGCCTGGCTTCCTCCGCCGACGAACAATCAAATGACAGCGATGCAGAGGAAACCCAAGTGGGGGTGCTCCAGGTAGACCAGGCAGCCCCCGAGGTGTGTCTGCGTGCGAACGTGGACGCCGGGGCAGTGGACGTGGCCCCTTGTTCCAGCAGCAGCAGCAGCAGTACCGCGCCTTCGTCTTTCGAGTTTTCCGTTCGACCTCTGGACACGGAAAAAGTGACGGTACAGTCGTTGGACTCGGGGCTGCTCTTGACGTCGACGCCGAATGTGTGGACGGTAGCCACCGCCGCACGAAACCAGGACAAGGCGCTGCTGGACACGACGCAAGAGTGGTTCTACGATCCGTTGCTCCAGAGGTTTCGCAGCAACGCGTACACCAACTACGACACGTGTTTGGACATTGTCAACGACGGATCGTGGCTCGTACAAGCGCGCGGGTGCGATCACAGCCCGAGCCAGGCGTGGTCGTACAACGACTTGACCGGCCAAGTGCTGTCGATGGGGAAATTGGGCCGTTGCTTAGCCACGACTGGCGACAAGACGACCGTGGAGTTCTGCGACGTGGCCAACCCCCGCCAGAAGTGGGCGCTGAATTTGGCCATAAACGAAGCACAAGACGGCGGCGCCACATTCACGCACTTGCCACCGATCACAACCAAACCAACTACTACGACCAAACCAACTACAACCACTGCCAAACCAACTACGACCAGTGCCAAACCAACTACGACCACTGCAAAACCAACTACGACCAGTGCTAAACCAACTACGACCAGTGCTACACCAAGTACGACCACTACCGCCGCCCCCGTGACGACGACCGAGGAGCCCCCTGTCCGTCAGTTTGATTACGTGGCTCCGTCCAGACACCGCGTGATTGCTCGTCGAACCACCACCGATCCTCCCGCAACTCCTCCTTAGAAATCCACCCACCCCATCGTCCGTCCTGGCATGCTTGGCCACTGGTAGCCATCCATCATGCCAATACATAGTACTTACTACCGAACCTACATACTGCAACAATGCAGGCGATTATTATTGTCCATCGTTCTGTCTGTGTCCACACATCCTACGGCCGCCGCCGCCGTTCATTCATATCATCGCTCTATCAAGCTCGTGTTCATCTCGTGTCAGCTACAATACTACTATCTAGTTAGTGTAGCCACCCCATCACGAACAAAGTAACGGGGAATGTGTACTGACTGTAACGTTATATAGTTAGTTTTTACTGGTTGACCAAGTCAAACGTCCACTTCTGAGACGCTTCGGCCACGTCGCAGAAGACGACATGCAGGTCCTGGCCGTCCGTTTCAGCGTTGAGACAGAGTCCGACTTTGCCCAGGTGCTGCACCTGTCCAGTCAGATCATTGTACGACCACGACTGGCTCGGCGTATGATCACACACACGGCCTTGCACCAGCCCGTGGATCTTGTCGTCAACCAAGTCGAGGCAGGACCTGCCGTTGGCTTTGTTGCGGATGCGCTGGAGGAGCGGGTCATAGAACCACACTTGGGCGTCGGCGTCGGCGCCCGCGGTGGACTTGGTGCTCACCGTCACGCGGCCATAGTCTTCTGTGAGCTTCCACTGGGCATCGGCAGACACGATGTGTACTTCTTCCGTGTCCAGCGGGCGCACCGTGAACTTGTTGGCGGCGTCCTTTTGGCAGTTCATCATGGCGATGTCGTCGCCGACGGCGCGGAGGCAGCGGCCGTGCGCGGCCAAGCTGGACGCGTACAGCACACCCACGGGCACCGTCACGTCGTCGTTAGTGCGGTTCGCGCCTTTGCCGAGCTTGGCGTCGACGGTGGCGGCGCCGCCGACGATCGGGTTGGCCTTGGACACGACTTGGAACGTGCCGTCGCCACGGAATCGCCACTTTTGGTTGTAGTTGGAGCCGTCGCACCAGTACACGTGCACTTGCGAGTTGCCGTCGGCGTCAGCGTACGTGTCGAGACACTGGTTGGTGCTCCGCGACCGAAACGTGAGAAGATCTTGGTCAAAGAACCAGATTTCGCGGTCGAGCGTGTCCGTGAGGCCCTTTGCCGGCGCGCCCAGCGACAGCCGCCCGAACGACCCCGAGTAGTGACCATCCGCCTTGACCACCTTGCCGTCGTGCCAGATACGCACGGGCTTGTGGTACTTGCCCAGCGTGACGTTCTTCACATGTGGGTTGATTACGCGCTTCTCGTCAAACAGGCCAAAGTTGCGCTCGACTTTGGCAAACTCGGTTTCGCCCCACGCCAAGTTGAACGCGGTAAAGTAGTAGTACGCAATGTTCTGTTGCTCCGTGTACCGCATAAAGTCGTTGAGGAACCGCTACGAGGTGAGAGACTGAGATAAGGACATTCGAATGGGAAGATCGATATTACGATAACGTACAGCAGACGACGCCGGGGTCGACTCCTTGATGGCCGACACATTCCCACCGGAACTCCATCCGGTTTCAGAAAACAAGACCGACTTGCCGCGCTTGCGGGACTCGAGCACGACGTCCGCGACGCGCTCAAAGAGAACGTTCACGCCGTCCTTGGCCAGCACGCCTTCCCACTGCGAGAACTGGTTTACAGACACAACGTCCACGACGTCGTACAGCTCGGGCGCGGCGCGGTATGTGTCGACAACGTCTGCGATGGTCACGGGGATGTTGAGGTTGCTGGCGCGGAGAAAGGCGCGCGTTTGGTTGAGGTACCCGATGAGCTTGTTGACGCCGGTGCGGTTGCTCCAGTCCGTGGTGTGGTGGTGACGGAACAGCGCTTCGCTCGACACGTGGATGCCCAGCACGTTGTCGTTGCGGACGCGGTTCTCCTTGACAAGCTTCTGGAGAGTCTTGAACTCGCTTGGGAATGCATCGCCGACGTCGACGTTACCCCACAGACCCAACCAAATCTTGATGTTGGTCTTGGCGGCGGCGTCAAGCAGGCGCTGGATACATCCGTCCGTGGTTGTGTAGATACGAAGGTGGGTCGTCAACGAGCTCACGACCTTGAAGTCGGCGACGAACGTGTCGTAGCTCTTGCAGCCACCCCATTCACTCGTACGTGTGTCATAGTCAAGGCCATACAGAGGCCGGTCCAACGCCATCACGGCGGACGCACCCAGACCCAACACAAGCGCAGAAACCGTCTTCATGACCCACACCGAGGGAGGCAATTCAAAAAGTGATGTTTCGAAGTCAATTGTGGTAGAAACCCTTCAACAACAAATACTATCACCTTATTTGCATAACAATGAAATATACAGGTATCTGTTTATACAAGTCTATTTAGACAGAACCAACGCGTATTGTTTCGATCACCTACATCTAAGACCAAAGGATACGTGTGCATAGAGGGAATTATATACGATTATAGAGGTGTATCATATTTCACCCCACAATGAAGACCCAATCAAATGCCACAACTGCTATTCACCAGGTGTATATCATCCAGGAATTAATCAAAATCCTACGTAGTATTGCATTGCAGGGCATGTCTCACACGTTTGAATTCGTAGCGCCAAATTTTGGTGGAATGCTATGTCTTGGCTAGAAACCGCTACAAATAAATAGGAATTCTATTTACTACACATGTACAAGCTATAGCAGCACGCACCGCATAGTTTTATGCGGGCTCTGCGTTTGTTGCTCCTTAGGTGAGTGAGACCTGATTGTGATGCCTGCAAGTTGTGCCAACACCCACACATGGCCGGTGTAATTCATTTCCAATGATTTTTGGCTAGACTTTCAGTTTGTGGCTAACGTTGGCAAAAAGCTACTGTACCCACACCAATACTAACGTTAACGTTACCTGTAATGCTCAACCTCGCGACGTTTTTCGTGCAAACCCGCATACCAGGTACAGTACTACGACGAGCTCTTTTAACGTATCCGTACCTGGTATGTGAGCCTCATAACAATACTGTAGCAGGATCGAACAAGGAATTTACTCCAGGCTGATTCTGCAAGCTCGCCTCTAGTACAGTATACTGTACATGAATTCGGTGACCTCGTTCCAGCCATGCACTTCTCCATGCTAACATGGAATTAACGGTGTCCTCGTTCGACCACCGTCCAGCAACGCCACGCCGCAAGCTGGTCCATCGTCCACCTATAAGTATAACTTACCACCAGCTTCGTTCGAAACAGCGCCGTCGCCTCACAAGTTTCTTTCTCTTTGCAAGAGTGTGCTGTTTACAACTCAAAACCTCGATCGTATAAGCTTATCGAGGTTTCTCGTTCCACTGGACAAAGTGTCAATGAATCCGACAACTCTAATTACAGTGTACACTGTAGTATACTGCTACAATTCACTTCGGTACACTGTACAGTACCCGACGCCTTCGCCAAAAACAAACAAGCGTGGAGGGAAGGAGTACTTGTTTTCAGTATGCCGCCCAGATGCAGTCAGTTGCCACGAGCGTCTCCATGTGCACTGCCGTCGGCCAATCGACCAATTACGTTCCCGTCATGCCAGTGTTGTACAGTAGGTACTTACGACCACTACAGTACGTCCCCCCGATGTGGACTTTCTCGACCCTGCCATCACTTTTATATGACGATTTGTATGGTGGCCAGTCAACGAAATGCCATTGGCTGACCGTGCCAAAGATACTCAACGACGTCGCCACGTAAGGTCAACCTCGTATATTGGATATATTGTTTAATTCAATAAATTTGACTTGCGTTTTGTAATCTCACTCTTCATAAACAAGGATGGTGTAAATCAATATACAATGGCAATGCATATTATGTCTTTCGACAGTATATCTTGTCATACAAGTTCAACCTTGAGGCTGCGCTTGTGATCGTCGTCGTCGTGGTGTTCTCAGCTCACTTTTTGATTTGCGTCGTCATGAAGACTGTTTCTGCGCTTGCTTTCGGCTTGGCCGCGTCCACCGTAATGGCGTTGGACCGCCCTCTGTACGGTCTGGACTATGACACCCGTACGAGTGAATGGGGTGGGTGCAAGAGCTACGACACGTTCGTCGCCGACTTCAAAGCGTTGGGCAACCTCACCCGACACATCCGCGTGTACACGACGACCGACGGGTGCATCCAGCGCCTGCTGGACGCCGCAGGGTCCCAAAACGTCAAGTTGTGGCTCGGGTTGTGGGGCAACATTGAGCCCGAGAAGGACGCGTACCCTAGCGAGTTCAAGACCCTCCAGAAGCTCGTCAAGCAGAACCGCGTGCGCAACGACAACGTGCTGGGCATTCACGTATCGAGCGAAGCGCTGTTCCGCTACTACCAGACCGACAGCTGGAGCAACCGCACCGGCGTCAACAAGCTCATCGGGTACCTCAACGAAACCCGGTCATTCCTTCGCGCCAACAACATCAACATCCCCGTGACCATTGCCGACGTTGTGGATTCATACCGCGCCGCGCCCGAGCTATTTGACCACGTCGATGTCGTGTCCATCAACCAGTTTTCGCAGTGGGAAGGCGTGTACGCTGCCGACGGCGTCAACGTCCTCTTTGACCGCGTCAAGGAAGTGCAGCTAGCCGCGCGCAAGGTCGGGAAGGTGCTGCTGTTTTCCGAAACGGGATGGAGTGCCGCTGGGAACGTCACGGCCATCAAGGAGGCAACCCCTGCGTCGTCCGCGGTATGTTGTCATATCAATGACACACCTACCTACCTACTCGTGGCCTTATGAATCGATGTCATGTGTAGCGATTCCTGCGCGACTTTATGCGGTACACTGAGCAACAGAACATTGCGTACTACTACTTTACGTCGTTCAACTTGGCGTGGGGCGAGGAATCGTTTGGAGTAGTCGAGCGCAACTTTGGCCTTTTCGACGAGAAGCGCGTGATCAACCCGTACGTGACCAACGTCACGCTCGGCAAGTACCACAAGCCCGTGCGCGTGTACCACCAGGGCAAAGTGCTCAAGGCAGCTGGCCACAACTCGACGTCGTTCGGCCGATTGTACCTCGAGGCGCCCGCCCACAGCCTCAGTGGCGTGCTTGACCACGAAATCTGGTTCTACGACGAAGACCTGCTTACGTTCCGGTCGCGCAGCACCAACCTGTGCCTAGACACGTACACCGAGAACGGCCAGTCGAAGCTCCATGTGTTCTGGTGCGATGGCACCAACTACAACCAAAAGTGGCGATTCCGCGGCGACGGCACGTTCCAAGTCGTGTCCAAGGCCAACGGCCTCGTCCCCGACGACTCGCTCTCGACTGAAGTCGACCCGAAGCTCAGCAACGGCGGCGCGAAACGTGCGACCGAAGACGTCCGCGTGCCCGTGGGTATCATCAAGGGGTCCAGCGCCGCCGCGCATGGCCGCTGCCTCCGCGGCGTCGGCAACGAGATCGCCATGCTCGAGTGCCAGAACGACGCCGACAACAAGTTTACGATCCGCGCGTTGGACACGGAAGAGATCCACATCACAGCGTTGGACACCAACTGGAAGCTCACCGAAGACTACGGCCGCGTGACCGTCAACTCGCAGAGCGCCGAGAGCGCCGACTTGGACGCGCATGTGTGGTTCTACGACCCGCTCCTCCAGCGTATCCGCAACAAAGCCAACGGCCGGTCCTGCCTCGACTTGGTCGAGAGGAAGGTCAAGGGATTGGTGCAGGGTCGCGTGTGCGATCACACGCCGAGCCAGTCGTGGTCGTACAACGACTTCACGGGCCAGATTCAGCACCTCGGCACGATCGGACTCTGCCTCAACGTTGACGAAGACGGACAGGAGCTGCACGTTGTGTACTGCGACACTGCGTTGCTGTCGCAAAAGTGGACGTTCGACTTGATCAACCCCTAAGTAACGTTAGTGTGTCGCGCTGGCTGCATCATCCTAATATCATCAACCTTGTCGTCGTGTTCAAAATTGTTAAAGTTCCACGAGCAACATGTGGTGTTATGCTTCCCAGTCGCAGCTCCAGCTTACGAGCAGGTCCGCTATGGCCTTGGCATGGTCGGCATGGCTAAACATCTTGAAGTACAGCGTCTTGAGTAGCAGACACGACCGGGTTTCACTGTCCACAGCCGTGTACACTTCTGTACAGTCGGGCTACGATTGAGAGCGGACGAGCAACTTTCTCGCGTCGGAGTAGTGGTATTAATACAATTCCCTCCTCTGTAAAACAATTTCAATGTTGTTTTGACCCGAAATACTATTTCAATGAGGTTTATATGGAACTTTGTATGCTCAGATCACCTCACCTCTTACAAGGGATTAAGTTCATCTCAGTGGTTAGCGATAGCTAACCACTAGCGATGCAGTTAACCCCGGGATTTAGCATCGAATGTACTCACCGGGGGTAGGACCGAGTTCCAGGTTACAGGGCGAGGGCCACTGGCGAAAAGGTGTATCCGATGTATTAAGTCCCTCATAACAACAGTGGAACTATTTTAATGAGGGAATTATTCTACGAAGTAACCCAAGTTGATGCAATGCGAGATGTTCACATTTGCGCGGAGCAATATAGCTTCGTCAAACAAGTTTCGTTGTTGGTCAGTCTATGGTTACATCCGAATTAATACTATGAGTTTGAACTAGTATTGAGAATTATCCTGTCCTTCGGAATCGATTATTTATTTTGCCATTATAGTTACTGTAACAGTGCAAGTTACTTCGAAGTATCTATTTTTCCCGGCCTTGGGAAAAGTTAACTGATCTATTTTGGTTGTGGCGCAGAATAATCTATTTTTCGTTGGAATAAAAAATATTTTCTAAATATATTTTAAATAGATTATTTTTTGGTAACCCCTGCTAACTACTACTATTAATAGTACCAAGTAGTACATTAGTATGGGTTGTGGATGGTCTAGCATCAAAGCACATGTGCCAAACGTATGATTGATTGGTGTTGGAGTCTTTTAACAGTTACTGACGCGCTAGCTACAGCAACCAACCAGGCTACAAAGGGGGCTGTACAGGCCTAATTATGACGTGGTCGACTTGCATTGTAAGCTTATGTGTACTATTAACCCGCTAGAGTACTGTAGTAACGTGACCGACCATTGATGGGTCGATTTGTCGCTATGTACAGTATATATATATATATATATGATATCTAGCGGGTGATTGAATCCACAAGGTATGGATGGTTCTGTACGACATACCATTGTGTGTACTTGTCGACTACAGTGTAACGTCAATTGTATTGTATACAACCTCCCAGCCGATTCATAAATATGTTCGTGTTATGACAGACGACACCATGTCGTCCAAAGCGGTTTTGTACAGTCCTCCTCGTGCATATACATATATATGCATATTTGTACCTGTACATCCATCCACCCCATATTCCACACGTCTCGTAGTTTTAGCTGTGGACGATCAAATCCAGCGTCCACTGTTGAGTAGGCACGCCCAAGTCGCAAAAGTCCACAAACACGACGCTACCAGCCGCTTGGAGGCACCGCCCGAGGTGGCCCATGTGCAGCAGCTGGCCCGTGAGATCGTTATATGACCAGCGCTGGCTGCGGCGGTGATCACAAAAGTGCGTGTCCACGCGGCCAAACTCGTCGACGACGTCGAGGCAGTCGGACGGGATGGCTTTGCTGCGGAGCCGCTGGAACATCGGGTCATAGTACCACGTCGTGGACGTTGTAGCAATGGACCCCTTGAGCTCCATGGTGACCCCCGCCGCTGTCGCCGTCGCCGCTAGTGGCCGACCCAACGCCATGGACGTCACCGTGAGCTCTTCGGCGTCCAGTGGCCGGAGGTGGAAACGGAAGGCCGGGTCTTGCACGTTGCAATCGCCGGCTGCCACGTCATCTTGGCGGCGGCCGCCAACAAGGCACTTGCGACCGGTCGAGCCGCACCAGTGATGGTCCGCCCCCATGCGTTTGCAATCGGACCGGGACCAGTTGACATAACACAGCGAAAAGTACGCGTTGGCAAACTGGCAGTTTTTGCACGCGCCGCACGTGAGCGATGATGACGTGGCGTCCTCCTGGTCTTCGACAGGTGGTGGCGGGCGCACTACTTCGATGATGTTTTGCTTTGCATTCACATGCCATCGCTGCGTCGACGATGACGCCGGACGTCCGTCGTCCAGAGGTGGTTGGCACCACGACACACTCAACCCCCACTCGCCGCCGTCGTCGTTGCCCGGTTCTTTTGATACTGTCAAGCACTTGTTGGTGCTGCGGCTTCGAAACGATCCGACTTGTTGGTCGTAGAACCAAATCTCTCGATCGAGGGAATCACTCAGACCGCGGGCGGGGGCATCCAAGTACACGCGGCCAAACGAGTGAGTGTTGGGGCCGTCCGCCTTGACCACTTGGCCCTGATGCCAAATGCGCACGGGCTTGTGGTATGCTCCCAGTGTCACAGATTTCACATGTGGCAACAGGTTGCGATGTTCGTCAAACAGCCCAAAGTTGCGCTCGATCTCGCCCGTGTCGGAATCTTGTCCCCACGCCAAATTGAACGACGTAAAGTAGTAGTACGCCATGTCTTGCTGCTCCATGAGTCGCATAAAGTCGTGGAGGTACGTCTAGCTCACCCGAATGAATTTGAAACCGTCAGACCGATCAATCACTCATGGTATTGGAGGGATATCCAAGTATGTACCGCGGACGACGCGGGAGATGCTTCCTTGATGTCGGGTGTCGAACCGTTGGCGCTCCACCCTGTCTCAGAGAGAAGGATGGGCTTGCCGGCCTTTCGCGCCGCGAGACGGATGTCCTGCATCCGGTCGAAGAGCAGGTTTGCTCCGTTGATGGACCACCCGCCCTCCCACTGCGAGAACTGGTTGACCGTGATCACGTCCACGACGCTGTAGATCTCGGGCACGGACTTGTACGAGTCGATCACGTCGGCAATGGCCACGGGGAACGTGAGGTCGTTGGCCCGCAGGAACTCGCGCACACGAGAGACGTACCCAAACAGCTTTCGCACACCGCTGTACTCCTCGGCCCAGTCGTGCGCATCCCGCGAGTAGTACCGGAACAGCGCCTCGCTCGCCACGTGGATGCCCACGACGTTGTCGTTGCGCACGCGGCCATCGACCACCATTTGCTGCAACCGGGCGAATTCCGGCTCAAAGTCGTCTTCGGTCGTGTTCACATTGCTCCAAATGCCCAACCACAGCCGCATGTCCACTTCTGACGCCACATCCAGCAACCGACCGAAGCACACGTCGTCGATGCTGTACACACGGATGTTGGAGGTCAGCGGCTTCAACACGACAAAGTCCTGCCGCATGTCGACCTTGCTCTTGCATCCACCCCACTCGTACGTCCGCGTGTCGTAGTCAATGCCGTATAACGAACGGTCCAGCGCCGCCACCGCATGCAGCCATCCTCCCAGCCACAGAACTGCCGCCGCCGCCGCCTTTCGCGAAAACGTCGTGTCCATGGATGGCAATTCAAAAAGTGACGTCCAGAAGTAGCCGACAATGCGTCCAGGAGATATATATCGGTGGTGTACAGGTATGGATTTATAAAGGTACACATATCAGTTTTAGGTTTGTAAAATGGTATGGTTCTACGATCGGTAAATATCCTATATCGGCGTGTATCCAAAGACAGAGCAATTGAAGTTCCGGAGCTATCCTACGGTACATATACTCAATTAGGTATTTCATTTATAGTACTCAATTAGGTACCTGCGCATTTTCGTACACTTTACCAGCCGCGAGCAGTTCGGGACCACCAACGCCATGGACAGAGGCCACAGGCATACAAAGGACGAGTAGTTACTAGCACTAACCTTGTACTTCGAAGTACAACATTGCTCTAATTGACTGTGAGCCACCTCAAAATTGTAGCGTTACCGGTACAATTTCTGTTGAATATGTACTGTACCTGCAATCTACAATAACAGTGACAATTAGAATTTGTATGGACAGACAATTCAGCCAAACTACAAACGACATTAGCGGTGAACATTAGTCCGTAATATTGCTGGTGCAGCCGATGCCCACCAACACAGTTGTTTGGCGTGGATCAGTTCGATCGATGTCGCTGGCACCAACGGCGACGGAACAGCATTTATCTGAAGGATGGTTAGCGCATCCAGATCATTTGTTGGACAAATATTACATATGGATAGATATCGTCTCCATCATTCTAACTGAGTGGGTACCATCCACGATCACCACCATTTCTCGCACCATGTTACTGCATGGTATTTACCACAGTTGTGGGGTGAAGATATATTTTGTGCAGTGTTGCTCACGAACACCCTGCGTCTACCTCAATTAGTGGGGGACACGCCGCATCGTCTGTGGCATTGATGCACCCTTGTAAGCACATCAATGCGTGTGAACAAGCTGCCTCCGAGGCATGTTGTGCACGTACAATGGCTCACCCGAGACATCTCGAGGGTTCAAGCAACTCAACATTGAGACACAAACCGTGTGCTCATGTATGCCTTCACCCCTGGGGGGTAGATTGACGATACCTCGACCTTCATTTGGGGAGGCAGCAACACCTGCGCTTTCACCGTTTGGGGAGGTGATGACCACCACACCTCAACCCACACTCGGGGAGACTTGGGGAGGTTCTAGTATGTAGTTCGGTGTACGGAGTTTGGCAAGTACATGTCGTACTAGAAGAACATGTACTACACTACTCCAATTGCCCCTTCGGGAGGCATCAACTTTGTCATACTCCGCCTCCACCACGGAAGTTGTCCACAACTCCGACGTCCAAACGTCGTTTGTTGTCCAACAACCCGCACCAATCGGCGTCGATGATGACGAACTGGTCCTCATGGCTTCCTAATGGACATGTTGCAACCTATCAAACAAGGGTGCGATTTCAGATGCACGACCTTGGGGCTCTCAAGTTTATTCTCGGATTTACATGGTTCTGCTCGAACTCTCGCAATGCATCAGTCTCAATATGCAACCTCAAACATCATGAGGTTTAGCATGGAGAATTAAAAACCAACCCTCACTCCAATGGAGTTCAAGGTCAAGCTGTCTGAGTAGATGTTTCCTCAGAACGATGCAGAACGCCAGTCCATGGTGGGCACGACACATCGGTTGGTCGTCGACAGCATCATGAATCTCATGATCAGCACCCGACTAGACCTGACATGCGTCGCCCTACAACTGTCCCAGTTTCTCACGAGCTCCGGCCCTGCTACATGCAGGAGGCCATGTGCGCTATCGGATACATCCAACGAACGATAACCTATGATCTCGTCGTAGGTAGTGCGTATGATCACTCCATCCGCATCACGCACATGTAGACAGTGACTGCGCCAACTGTGTTGATGCGTCGCGGGTTTAGTGTGACATTTTACCGCTACTTTGCGATATCTCGGATCGCTAAGAGAATGCGAAGCATCGTCCTCTCGACAACGAGGCAGCGCTAATCCTTCTGTGCAAATTTGCACAAGGGAGCCTGAGTTTCAAACAGGTAGTCGGTGACATGGGACATCCCATCACCACAGCTATTCCTCTATACGAGGTCGATAAGAGCACCATCCAGATCGTGAACCACTCTGGACGTTATGGGCGTACAAATCACATTGACGTACGTTACCATTTCGAGAACCACCTCATCGAACAATAGACTTATGTCTTGTTTCCACCGATACACGACCCCAGGTCGCGGATATCAATACCCTAGATGGCACAATGTTCTGCGCTCTGCGTAGTCAACTAACGGGTGGGACTGCTGTCGTCCTTCAGCACCCTCAGGCGAAAGCCAGGGAGCACAAACTCCGGCCTCTCAGCTGATGACTGAGTCGATGTGCCAGGGGGACGCCCTGAAGCATCTTGGCTCGATATCGGGGGGTGACGGCATCCCGGTGGTTACTCGATCCATCCGGCCCTTCCACGACATGTCGTTCGGTAAGGGCCAATTGGTAGGGACCTGCTGAAAGGGATGTCCGACGAGTTGAGTCCCGGACAGACGACGGTGTAACCAGTGGTGGTTACGCTCACTGAGCTTAACCGCCAGCCTTTTGCTGCACTCTGGGCACCTGATTACGGTTGACAGTGCGTGGCGCTGTTGGGAGGCAGTCAGGACACCCTGTTCTGTTAGTGAACATCCCCACTGCCCTGTCAGTCAGGTAGCAGCATTCTGCTAGCTGTGTAGGAGGTTTTTGTGCCTTTTAGAGGCTCTTCCTCAGGTAGAAGACAGCGCAGACATTTGTCACGAAACATCACAGATGTCGTGGCCAATCATAGTCTAGTCTGATTGGCTGTTTTTCTCTGCCGTCAGAACTAATATACTTTCAGTTCTTCCTCCATCCACACACGTGTCTGCTGCTGCTTCCTGCCCTCTCCACTGTCGGCATCCTGACAGTGAGTTGCTTTCACGGACGTCGCAGATCATCTCGCGAGTCCGCAACGAGGTGTGCGAAGTGGACCTGGACGTTCTGTCAACTCGCTCGTGAAGGCGGTGATTGAAGAAAAGCTAACAAGCTC